GGGGGGGAGGGGGGGAGCATGTGCAAAACCATGCTCTGATTGGCTGCACACTTGGGGTGCCAGGCCCCCATTGGCTGAGCGGTTGCCAGGGGAACCCCTGAGTGGGGAAACCCTCGTGCCCTGGCTGCCATGCGAGGTGCAATGTGTTTTGTCACCCTGCCTGCCGCTGAGAGGCTTCGAGGGGCAGGGCAGGGGCCACTGTCACTATGCTGTGGCCTCCCCGCTCCTTCTGGTGCTGCTGAGCAGATGGCTGGGCCCAGGGTGGCATATACCAGATACTGCCCGGCGCACAGCACAGCTGCCCTGCTGCCCTGTTGGCCAGCGCCATCACCACTGACCCCTGTGCTGTCCTTGTCCCTGTTTCAGCCCAGGCGGGAGCCTGACGAATGCTCCTCCCCCGGTGCTGCAGGGCTGCAAGGTTGTTCAGTGCCGACGTGGCCGGCATCGATCCACTGCCACAGCCGGAGCGGAGGAGAGGAGCTGCAGCGGGGCCCTGGAGAGTGGCATTACCTCATCAGCCTCACTAATGGCCAGCCAGCGCTAAGGAAGGTGACCCTGAGGTGGGCGGGGGGTGGGGAGTGGCGCAGCCCCTTTGTGGGCCTGGAGTGTGGGGCCCCAGCCCTGGGTGGCCTGTGGCTTTTGGGTGTCCCCTAGGTCTGCTGTTGCCCCCCCCCCCATCGTGGGGCCAGTGTCACTGTGTCCCCATGGAGTGGGGGGTGGGGTTCTCAGTGTCCCCCCAGGACTGAGGCCACCGTTCCCCTGTTGGGCCAGGCATCATAGTATTTCCATGGGGCTTGGGTCACTGTATCCCCATGGGGTGGGAGGAGGTCACAGCTTCTCCAAGGTCTGATGTCACCGTGTCCCCATGGGGCAGAGGATGACAGTGCCCCCAGGACCAGGGCCACCACATCCCCTGCATGGAGACAGTCTCCTCCCTGGTACCTAGAGGGGGGCTCCCTCCCCCAGCTGCCAGTCCCGCCCCCAGGCTGCTGGCCCTGTCCACTGGGCTGCCCCCAGGCTGCTGGCTCCACCTCCAGGCTGCTGGCCCCCCCTCCTGAGCTGCCCCAGGCTGCCAGCACCATCAGCTCCCCACAGCTCTGCCACTGCCCCGACATGGCCCCTACTGCCCTGCCACAGCCACACAGTGTCCCCGTGGCATCCCCGCCGCAGCCCTGCATCCCCACAGCGTCCCTGCAGCATCCCCGGGGCTCCGTGGTGTCCCTGCAGCATCCCCATACCAGCCGCACAGTGTCCCCGTGGCATCCCCGTGCCAGCCCTGTGGTGTCCCTGTGTCCCCACAGCATCCCTCTGGCGCTCCTGTGGCCCTGTGCCCCCCATGCAGTGTTCCTGTGGCCTGTTGGTGTACCTGTGGTGTCCCTGTGACTCCATGGTGGTCCCATACCAGCTGCACAGTGGCCCTATGGTGTCCCCGTTACCCCACAACATCCCTGTGTCCCATCAACACCCCCCACCACCACCCCCACAGCGTCCCTGCGCCCCCCTGGCATCCCTTCACCAGCCCCATGGCATCCCTGTGCCATGATGGCAGGACACAC